GAGAATAGAGCAACGGTTGAGTCTGTTTTCGTCATCCCATAATGCATACAATGCTTTATATATATATGTATATATATATATTTTTTGTGCACACACTAAAAAAAATATAGATTTTGAGTCTAATAAAATGACTAAATTATTTCGCCATCAATTTTCTATTAATACATAAAATAAACTATTAATAAATTAAAAGTAGGGACAAATTAATTGAGAAAAAAGATATAATATCGGACTTTTGAAGTGACAAATAAAAAAAAAAAAAAAAAAAAAAGAAAAACCCACAAATATAAAATGGTAAATGGAAAATAATAAAATATAATACATAATTCGAAATGATTTGACTAGAAAGTAGGTGCCATGCATGCATGCATGGGGAGTACAAGTATTAGCACCAGGTGGTGAGCAGCTGATGGAACGTGTCGTTACGAGGAAACAGTGCGTGTTCCATTACATATGGAGCTTCACCGCCGCCTCTTGTTTCCCGCTAAACATTACACCGTGCACATTTATCGATATATATGTCTTTAAACCCTAAATATTAATGACCTTTATACCCTCACCAAAACAAAGGTGGTGCTGCAACTACACACAAAATATTGAGAACAAATTATACTAAACAACCGTTTAAAAAGATTAAAAAGTAAAAGACAATATTAAATTTGAGCAGAGCTCTAATATAGTTTAATTAATTTAATGGGACGTGGATAAATGTAGTTTCAGTTTTACTTTTGACTTCAAATGTGATTTTTAATTATTTTAGATTTTGAATTTATCAAAATTCAACAAAACTCATAGCATGAAATCTATAAGTTTTAGAGTTAGCTTTCTGATTCAATTTGAATCAACAAAATTAAATGTGATTATGAATCAATAATCAATGACAGTGCCTGCTTGCAACGTTGTTGTATTGAGTTATCTCTAAAATTCAAAATGTAATTCATTCATGAATAATTATGTCATCCGACATCCAATCTAGCTAGTTCAAGTTGAATTATTAAACTAACTCAAATGACTATATCTTTCGTGTTTTGAATTTTACCAAATCAGATTAGAAATTTGTCAAAATGCAGTATTAACAAAATTGACACGATATTTAATATTTCAGTTAATTTAATAACCGGCCCAATAGTTCAATTTTGTGAAACCTATGCTGCTAAAATTTAGGAATAAGGCCCATTAGGCCCAACTACACTTCAATGCTGACGTCAATACATCATCTTTTGTCCAAAACAACATATAATTATAAAATTATGGCATGCATTTCAAGATTGCACTACTA